TGAATATGCACAAAAATAAATAATCTTTTAAAATAAAGTCTTTAAGATTTTAATATGCGAATGGTATTGGAAGGAGCTTGATTRCTCGCATTGAATTTACAGCTAGGGAACAAGAAGGTCATTCAATTGGAATTGAAGTGGGCTTTTCCCTCTTCTATCTAAATTGATATAATCTAACTTAACCTACCTAGAGCGAAGCATCTAGCCTAACTATTTTGGGGATCCTGAACTAGTAATTCTTGTTTAGAGCTCCAGTGGAGGCAATGTACAGAGTTGGACAGTTCCTCTCCCCTTTTTTAGGATGAAATAAGTCTCCGCTAGGGATTACAGGATAATAAGGACTGGAGCAACAGCCTATTTAAAAAAAAAAAACAAGCCAGCAAAACAGCCTGGGTGCCTAACCTTTACAGGTAAGGTCTGCGCTGTGCTATGTTCCTCTCATTTTCAATTCTGGCTGAAGAGCAAACTATTGTTGCCTTAAGAGAAATAAAATAAATAAAAAAAGGACACAGAGGAGAACATCCAGTAATAAACAAAGCAATAGAAAATGGAAAAAGTCAATTTAAAAATCAATCCTCCCTGATTTCTTCTATCGACTGTTTTTAGAAATAACACCCAGAATTTTTATAACTGAAGTAGATAATAAAAAAACAACAACATTGTGTTCAATAATTTATTTTATGCTTTGGAAAGTGCTTGGGTGTAATGGGTTTCACTGTTTCCCCTTCTGTATACTGCATTCTTTCATGCAGAAGAAAAGAAAAGGTACAAAAATGGCAAATGGTAACAAGGCCATCCAGATACTTTCTCCATCCCTTCCCCTTCCAATACTCTCTCACGTGGATTCCCATGAAAAGGCTCTGTTACTACTGCAGCATTTACTGCTACTAGCATTTGTTTTTACTAGTCAGCTGTGAGCAGACTGAATTCTTAACAGCTGCTACGGTACCACCCTTGTCTCATTGTCCATGAAGCATTTTTTAAATTCCAGATATAACATTTTCATCAGAACTTGAACATTTTTGTTTCTTTATTCTTTGCAGAGAATGAGCTGAGTGTTTCATACACTAGAACTCTTCCTGGGAAGAGAACTTTTTTGCCCATATTCCTTCTGGTTGTTTTTTAGCAAGGTGGTTGAGGAGAAACAAGAACTATAAAGCTGTCGAACATGCATCAGGCCCTACTACATTTACCCCAGTAGGAGGATGAGTTAGAAGGTTAAGGAAACTGTAACCTCTGGTGTCATGGTCCAGCCTTGGAAGCTGCCTGCCTTGCTCTCAGCATGAGCTACTTCCACAGAGTCTTCAGAAAAGCTTCAGGGAAACCTGCCTTTCTGCAGGGTTTTCAAGACATGTGCAGGAGGAGAAAGGCTTGCAGAGGTTTCAGCCCAAATGCTGTTGTACAAATCCTCTGCTACGTGGCACAAAAGGGAAGGGTCCCGTAGGGCAGCTGTGCTGTATCTGAGCGTGACACTGGCCAGCAYGACGGCAGTCCTTGTGTCTGTTGCAGCAGTCTGTTGTGCCTATAGAATATTGTAAAAAAAAAAAAATAATAATAATAATTCTATTTTGGTAAGTACCTGGTCTGCAGATTTCATGTTCATATAGTGAACTTCTAGAAAAGTTCACTATTCTGTCCAGGCTGGTAGAGTGCAGTATGTCAAATATGTTATGTAGATATCTAGAGAAAAAGAAGGTTTGTAATAGAATCTTGAAAATAATTTAGTCATATTTTCCAAAATAATGTATGGATTGAGGGGGGAAAAAATGCTTGTTGAATTTTCAGATTTTTGTGGATAACAATATAACTTTATAAATATTTTAAAACATTGATTTTCAGAGTCTCCTGAAAGACTTATAGAAAAGATTTAAAATGTTTTTTTTTTTTAAGTAGTCCCAAGTTAAAAAAAAAAAAAATAAACAAATAATATAAATAAGAACCTGAGTGAGACATTACACRTGTTATGCAAGAGATTTGAGATGGAGAGTGAGTTACTCTGTCCTCTCCAAAGGTTTTAGAATCATAACTTTTATATAGTGGGCATAATACTGTACCAGTGCTAACTTCTAAATCAAAATCATCAGTGAAACGATGTCCCCTTGTGGGGAAAAATACCCTTGGTTGCACAGAGGGAATATGACATTGCTGCCGTTGGGTAGAGGACTGGAGCGGTGAGTGTTCCTGCAAGCTGGAGCAGCTCCGTATGACACGGAGTGCAGCTGAAGCAGGGCATTTATTGATTTACTTATTAGCTCCTGTTTAGCTGGTTGTCGCTCCAAATCGGAGCCAGATGAGTGTCCTGCTGCCTGTTTGAAGTAGAGGCAGGATCACAGCTCCAGGCCAAAGCCACTTGAGGCAKCGGGCAGCTTTGTCTGCCCATGAGCCTGACAAACACCCAGGGAATCAATTGCAGTTACAGGGCTTGAGGCCTCTGGGCCCATTTCAGCAGGGGGAGCAGAGGGGCAGGGGGTGAACTTTGTGATAGGCCTTTCACATCTCCTAAGGGTGACGTGCCAGCCTGATGCTCTCAAAAATGGAACCAACTACTGTTCTTGTATTAAGGATGAGATATTTTGTTTAGTGCATCTCAAATCTTGTGCTAATACAAAGTGATATAATGGCAGTTTAGAGGATTCAGTTCCACGTGTAGCTTAGACAGCAAAGTATTAATCACAGTTAATGGTGATTAATTGCATGTAGCCAGTGAAAAGACATCAGTTCTCAAACCATGGGCTGGGAATGACATGTTGTTGCTGCTCTGCAGCTGATCCACAAAACTTGAGGGGTGTTTTCAGTTAAAATCCTGATGGTAAACATGTGTGAACACTGAGAGAAACGTCAAGTGTTGATAGTCTTCTGAAAAGCTTGTGGTCTCGGGAACAAGATCAATTAAAATTGCTTAGGAATGAATGAGATAGTGAAATACTTTCAGTCTCAAAACAGTGAAATACTTTCAGTCAAAATCATTTTTATATATATATATATATATATATATACACTTTTTTTAAAACTACATTATCCAGTGAGGAATTAAAAGGAAGTGCTGAACAGGCAGTGCGGGATCACTGCCTTTTAGACAAAGATAAAATGATAAAAATAAGAGAGGACACAATAAATGGGAACCTAAAATGAGCCAGATCATGGAGCTGGAGAGACAGGGTGAAAACAGTAATATCACAGGCAGAAGTTATGGTCAGTGACAAACTCTGGCTATAACCTGCTGGATGCCTGTGCATTAATTGATGTATATATTTATGTAAATATGTGTATATGAGGTACTGTGCTAGGTTTTTTGAAATCAGACTTCAATTTCTTTTCTGCTATACATTTTTTTGTAAAAGTGCCAAAGAAACTTTGAACTAAAAATCTTAAAAAACTTCTAGTTTAGTGTGTCTGAATATTCTGTTTGTACCTAAATGTCTTGAAATAGCATTTATCAAAGACAACCTATAGACTGGGGAGCCACCCAAAATTGAATGAAAAGAGAGATTTGTCTTAAATCTGGTACCTTTGTAAAACTTGTTAATTTTCTGTCAGGGAAGGTTTGGCAGTTTGGATAGCCAAAAAGTCCTTCCAGTAGAAAAAGACAAAAAGCAGCCTTTAATCTCCTTTCACATTTGGATAACTGTTTCTCTGAAGCATGAAGAAGGATCCTTTAAAAACAAGTGGCAAAGTATCAACTCTAATAAATGCTGTGCGCTTTTAGGATGCAGATTGTGGTTTAACATAAAATGCATTGGTGATTGTGGGAAGGATTAAATCCAATCTCTGTATTCTTTCTTATTCTTCCAAATTTTCCTTGCTACAGCAAAAAATAGAGAGCCTTCCTTTTACCTATTTTTCCTATGTTCATGAAAGCAATCAGTTCCACGGTGTCAAATTGAAGACAGGATATTCTTAGGATGGATGGTTATGTAGGTGTATACTTGTGTTTATGTCTCTGTTACAGATTTCAAAGCAGAGAGCTGTGACAATGACAGGGGTACCATGGTAGACGAGCAGAGAACAAGCTGTGTGGCTAGGCAAGCTGTGACCTTACTTTCTTGCTCAAACAAACACGTACCTTACTGAGATGAACTTGCACCATGGCTCCTTTCCTCCTCCACATTGTGACATACAAATATATAAGTCCTTGGATCCAATGCTTTTCCGCAGGATCTGCTTTCTTTTTTTCTGGACATAGGGAATCCAGGGCACACAGCAGCATATTGCTGCCTGTTCTCCAGGGAAAACCAGGAGCAGACACTGCCAGAACAACCCATGCTGCCTATGCTCAATGCTGCCTGTCCTGCAGGCTGCTTGGATGGGCTGCAAACCAGAAGAATCACATAGGAATGACATAGGGACCTCTGCTATAGCTGGTAATAGATACTGATAGCATGCCTGATTTTACAGCCAGCTTGCTGTGGTGTCCTCTGCAGAAAATAGTATGAGAAGAATCCTGCCTTCAAGATCTGGTAGAGCCTATATAATGGCTATATAGTGCTAGGGCCTTGGTGACTTTCAACAAGGGACAGCTATTCTGATCTGTCCTATGATAGGGATGATGTCTGGAGACCCACTGCCAGGCAGACTATAGCTGATGAGAAAGAAAGGAGGAAAAAAAAAGCCTTAGATTTAAGTTGGGGAAAGAGAATGGTGTTAAAATGTAGCTTGAGTATTTTGGCCTAATCCAATTTTTTTTAAATCAACCAAAGACAATTCTTGTACATTGTGTGTTTATGCCTGTGTAGTATGACTTCTTGCCTTTTTCTCATGCTAAATGATTGCATACAAGTTCCTTGTGTTAGGTTTTTGAGAAGAAAAGAGCTTCTGAAAGAGAGTGAGTAAAGGAAGGTAGAGAGCATGTATAGAGCAGACTCCAAGGCATAGCAGAGTACTTTGGTATCAATGTACCACACACAAGTTAATCTGTCAGCCTTTATTTGTGTTTGAGTTCTTCACATATATTTGCCATTGATCTGACTGGACAACTTTGTCTCTTTTTTTGTTTTCTTCAGGATTAAGTCATGGGTAGATAAGATGCAAGAAGATCTTGTAACATTGGCACGAACAGCAAGTGGAGTGGACCAGCTCACTGGGGTGAGTTAGAGACATTTCTTAGACTGCAATAACTAGATGACAGAAATGAATGGTGTACAAAATAACCAGAAGAGAGAAATGAGTGGTGTATATCACCTAGACATTACAGTTATTTCATCTGAGCACAGTAACAGGTTCTGGGGAATTAAACTTGGTAGTGTTTATTTTCTATAATGTTTACCAAGAGAGAAATGAGCAACAAGCATCCATTAATTCAYTCTTTAATTTTGCAGCACTTGCTCATTGCTAATATTTAATCAGCTTTGCAGTTTCAGACATAAGGTTTACCATTATTAAAACATCTCACCTGAAGCAAACTCTTTCATTATATATTTGTCAAATATAGTATCCAGGAAGCAGTCATTCAAGATGATGGAAAATTCTGTTTTCTTTCCCATGCCTCCTTTTGTGAAACAGTGGATCTCTGGGATGATGGGGGATTGTGTAAGGAAAAGAAGCTTTGCTATTAGGACAAGAACTGAAGTTACTTTTTCAGCCAACAAGAGACCATGGAATTAATAATAATAATAATAAAAATTAATAATATAACCCCCTTATCTGCATGGAAAACTATTTTTTGAATTTTATGAATATTTTTGGAAAATCTTGCTCAGTAGTGGAAGAATGCTAAAGATCTAGGTTCAAGTACTAAATATGTTGCTCATCTAGACAACTATCCTAAGCACAAGTTACAAAATCAGTCTCTCCCTACCTAAAACAAACAAAAAAAATCCCTGATAAAAAAAATCCYAAGGAAAGGCTAACTGACACTGATCAGAGCCTTCCAAAGGTTTTTCATTTGACAGAAAGGATATTAACTAGAGAAAGCTGCATCCATTCTAGTAAAAGAGGTTGTAGATTGTCTGAAAAAATATTATCTGTCTGCTGTTGTGAGAGTAGCTGAGAGCTGCACTGGGGAACTGAACATAGAAACCCTGAGATTTGGTTTTCAGTGGTCATAATCCCTCCAAATGATTCGTGAACAGTAGCTGTGCTTCAAAGCTARTAAGTGTAGTATAAAAAACATGCTGAAAAAAATCAGGATTTAATACACCCCAACTTGACACTGCAGGTTCCTGGGACACCCAGACAAGCACATGCTCATGTCCCGGGAGTCTTTCTCCTTACTGACCAGGAAAGAGACCAGATCGCTGCTATCTTAGATGGCCGTGTTTGCATTGCAGAGGTCTCAGGTGACATCATCCCCAACCTGCTTAGGGAAAGACTGTATTGATGCATACATCAGGGACATAAATGAAGGTCACAGAGATGATTTTAGTTTTGGCCTTTCCTAATAAATATTTGAGTGTTACAATACATTTTAAGACAGATATTTAGTTACAGTTTTTAATCTTGGATAAACCTARGCAAACTTAAAGAAAATCTTTAGATTCTAGCACAAAGTGTCAGATWGTTACACATGTGGTATTCTAGCTTAGGTTTCCAGCAACACAGAAACATCTATCACTTGAAATTTCTGGGAACGTTATCCCAAGACGGAAAGTAGATGGGAACTTTTATGCAAGTCTTACACAAATCTGATGACAGAGGAGGATAAGGCATAAAGTTTTGGTGAGGAGTTTCCACTAAAAGAACGAAAAGCCCGTGTTGGAATGGACTAGATGTGAGTCCATTCTGCTCTGTACCTGCTATACCTTTTTTTCTTCCTCCACCATCTCCTCATTCAAAATCATACCACTGATCCACTGGTGGACTTTGCATTTCTGCTGACTGGGTGGACTGGCTTTCACCTCACTGAGACTTACTCTCTGTGTCTCTCTGAAGTCATATTTGCTGTGTAGCCCATCTGCCTTTCAGCTTTTAAGCCTTCCTGTCCATCCTTTGAGATTTCTGCACTAAATTTGTTCCCACTTCAGACTCCCTCCCTGGGCTTTTTATTCTGCTTCGGCATTTCCAAATGGTGCTGTGCAAGTGTGTGAGTGACAGCCCTACTGCACTTCTTCCATTCAGCAGGTATTTTTCTTCTCCTCTTTCAGCTTTTAATCTCCTTTCTGGATCATTCCAGCCCTCTTTCCCCATGTGCCTAGACTATGAGAAGGACAGAGATCACCCTAGAGAAGGCAGCATGCCGGGTTTTGGCTGCCAAGGATGTGTGATGCTCCCTAGGCTGGAATACACTTGTGCTTGAGATCATGGGGATTTAGCTGACAAATCTCTGCAGTGGCCTGCCCTTGTTTTTCAGGCTATAAATTTGCTAGCTTTGAGAAGCATTCACCAAGCAGCAAGATGTATGTCTCTGGAAAATCATTAAAGATGCCAACTTCTTCACCCAGAGTATAGGGGCAATAGGGCATTTCAAAACAAAATGATTTACAGAGGATTTCTAACTTGAGCAAAACAATGAGCTAATGTCTGAACCATTTAGCCTGACATTTCTAGAAAATGAGGCATTGTAGAATAGATAATAAAGATCCAAGAGATTGGTCCCCTTACTCTTCTATCCTCCCACCCTCTTTTGGAAAACGCTAGTTCAAAGAAGGAATATTTGGTAAATGTAATGACTGCTAAAAAGTCTTAAAATGAGAAATGTTGGGCAAACATAGTAATTATATAATGCTACCAGGTATACTTACAACATACTACAGTGACATGCAGGCTGAAGAAAGCATTGGTGTGTGAGTAATGTAAGTAAAGCTTCCTTTCAGAAGCTAAAATTCATAGCACACGTAAAGCAAATCACAAGTTATATCAATAGATAATCACAAGGTGGGTTAAAATACACTTGTAATTCTAGAACTGAAAGCCTGGGAGTGATATGTCTCCGTGTAAAATATCCCCATATATTAAAGCCGTTTGTTTGACCTATTTTTTTGTTCTATCTTTCACTAGCCACAAATTTTAATTAGCTCTTTTCTCCGCAAGGGAGAATGTAAAGCCCTGCAAGGTGTGACCCGTGCAGTCGCTCCCGCTTTCATCTTGTTTACAGGCTATTGTTGTCACTTCCACATTACAGAAGGACTTTTCTGCTCACTGCCTATTAATGTTTAGTCAGATCTCTTCTGAAATGAACTCCATAGTCTTGCAGAAGTGGTGATTAGAAGAAATTAAATACAGAATGCTTGCATGCCTGTCACACTTATTCAAAGAACTTGCCTTCAGTTGCTCAAGCTGTGAAAATGCTCAACTTTTGGATTGAGTTTTCAGCTTTAATTTTGACCATAGCTTCTAGAAATTTCAGAATTATTTGGGGAAAAGATAAAGTCTTCATATTTTTGGAAAATTTCAAATAAGCTTTTTTTTTTTTTTTGGTGGCAGAAAGTGATTAGTGTAAGAAAAAGGAACCTTCTGCTTCTATGATAAAATAGTTAACACAACTTTTTTGTGAGCAAATGTAGTGATAGATAGAGTGGGATTGGAAAGCTACACTTTAGAGAGGCACATTTTAGGAAGGAAAAATGTCTTCCCATGTTCTAGGGAAAAATCTGGTTTACTTTGGCTGAGCAATTAGGTGAAAGCCCAATGTGAGGACATGTAACAGATCATAACGATTTCACAGCTTGGTGCCTCTCTCCGTGGACTCAGTGGACAAATCATACTGGTCCAGCTGCAGTTCCAGTTTGTGTGCTTTGTACATTTGAGTCTTCTACGGAGATTCCCAAAGGGACCCTAGACAGTTCTCAAAGCTGGAACACAGCCATGGAGATCTTGCCTGGAGTGCATGAGTTCATTGAAAACCGGGGTTGTGTTTTTGGTTGGCCACTGTGCCAAGCAGGGTTCTTCGACCACAGAAGCCTTGTTGGAGATATCTCAGGGTTCAGCAGTGCAGTATGCAGGTATGTGACTTGGATGTCCTTGGCTTTTCGTGCTGCAGCAAATTACAGTGCACTATGGTCCATTCTGATGAACTGTAAGGTATTTTTATTTAYTTATTTATTTATTTTCTAGCCATTGTGGAGAAGTACAGGAGGACTGCTAGAGCTCCCAGTTCTTCTCATTTTACATGGAAGGGACTTTTGATCAGAGRAAATGTGAAACTTTATGAAATCTGTATCCCAAAGGAGTAAAGAAATTCAAACGTAAGCCACCACTAAAATCCTCAAGTAAGGAGCTGTGGTAGGTGACTAAGAGACCTCTTGAGATCAGGGCTTATGTAAAAGTCTGAATTACTCTGAAATGTAGAAATAGATACCTCAGTAGAGAGAGAATGTAATACTTACCTATTATGTAGTATATATTAGGTTTAAGGTTTTTACATTCAATATATATTAAATTTGACCGGATCATGTATAAGGGGAGGAATACTCTTGGAGGAGGAGACTTTTTTTCTCCTTAGACTCCTCAGAGTAACTTGGAATCACAGTATTATGATAGTGCCTAGCCATGCCTCCCCTTGCTTGGAAACATAATTGGTAAATTCCTTCAGCAGTGAATATTTCTGAAAACATGAAAATGTTTACGCTGATAGACGTTTCACATACTCTTTATTAATAGTAATGATGATAGTAGTAGAATGCTTGTGGTGAGCAAATTGCCAAAAAAAGCTTGTATCTCACTAAATTTGGAGCTCTAAATTGAGGCTGCAGTTTTCCAAAGACTTATCCGAACAAAACAGTGTAACTGGAGTAGAAGGAACAGAGCAAATGGATATGTGTAGGAGTTGGAGAAACAGATGGAAGTTGAGGTTTTAATATGGTGCGGAGATAAAATATGATCTTTAATTTATGGATATTCCTTTATCRCTAGATGATTTTGGCCATACAGACAGTACCTGATCTAACCAATAACTAGGCTCGGATCACCACTTAAAGCTTTAACTCCAAATCCTTATTCCTCTAAAGTACTTATGCTARATTATTAATTTGACAGTAGGAATCAACAGGAATTCTAGTACCACCAAAACTTAAGTTGGTTAACAGTGAGATGGATCATGCTTAAAATTTAGCTCCCCATTGTATTCTTATTTATACTATGTGGGAATGGTCTTACAATAGTGCTCCAAAAATAGTCGGTAACATTATATATATATATATATATATATA